AACAAACGATAAGACAACACACTACGACATCATAACAACACAACAACACTGAACACTACAACAGTCATCCAACATCAAACAAAAAAAAAGACAAACACACTACAATATCATAACAACATAGCAACTAACAAGCCAAACACAACATCGACATCACACGACAGCAAACATTAAGACAAACCCACACTACAACATCATTTAACGACGCAATGACAAGATAGATAAAAGCACGGCACAAAAACTGAGCTGAGCGCGCACCTAGCTTGAACTGGTTTAGAACTAAGCTAACCACATTTTTCAATCTCTTTTTTCAATATGTTAGGTTGATTTTGGATACATCTAATATGAGATTTAATTAATCCATAATCGTTATTGACTGATGTGTTAGTGCTGATGATAGGCTACATACATTTGGATTGGTTTTAGAAACCTTCAATGTAGTTGTCTAAATAGGTCTTTGCATGTGGCGCTTGGCTGTTTCTATGGGAACTATAAAAACGAAGAGAGAATCGAGTCTGTTGGGTTATAAATTATAAGTGTCGTGCTACAATATATATCATATGCAACGATGTTTTTCGTCTGTATATCTTAATCCCTGGGGCCACAGGTGTCTTAGAAGACCTGTAAAAACACATTCAAATCTACTCAGTTTGACAAACGATTTTTTCTATACAGTTTAACATTTACTAAAAAGATTTATCCTGGAACTTTTTCTCTTGATTTAGAGATTATCTTAATTACTGACATTTTTGTTCTCCGGTTAGTCTTAATTTATGTAATGCAACACACAAGATTTAAATTTGTCACATTGTCGTCGACCTCTATACCCAGAAAGAAGTTAGCATCTCAAGTTTCATGTTAAATACAAATCCCTGCTCAAAGCCGTCCATCACTCACTTCGGATATCATTCTATTTTTCTTTGCTTTAACGAGCTTTTCGATAAGATCTTTATTGGAAACAAACCCAGGGTGATTCGTAAAGTTAAAACAGAATCGTTGAAGAACCAAAAGAGGTAGATTATCATCAAACCATTGCCAGGGTAGATGGAACTAAGTTGTACATAAGCTCCGAATCTCGTCCCAGCGGTAAGTCATACGAACATTTTCACCTTTGTGTCTTATATTTTTTCACGTTCTGTGATAAAACTGCCAAGTGTTTTTTCTAAATATCAATTTACTCATCCGTTTTGGGATCCAATTAACTGTCTACGGACATATCGAAGATGGTCTCTTTAGTTTCATCTTCACTGTTTGTTATTGTGTATTCCACAACCCAAAGCTCTGTAAAATGACCTCACTCCAGTCACTCGCCAACTATTTTCAACTGTCTGGACAATGCTCGCTTTTAATATTTCCCGTTTCGGCAGTTTTATCTACGTATCCTTTAGCTTCAAACATAAAACTTTCTCAATTCATATGTTTTTAATATTTATTTTTTCAATCGCTACTCAAAATTGTTTTTCATTTACTAAGATAGGCAGCTGTTATCTTCGTTACTTCAGTTTTATACGAAAAAATATTTTAGTTAATCAGATTATCTACCCGTCATGAAAATCCTTGAGTTAAATACTTGTTTGTCAACCCTCTAACACAAATTGCTCTTGATTAAGGAGTCTTGGATAGTAATAATAAGTGGAACGACTTTTCTTCTTGTGGAGGTTCGCATAGAGTTAATGTTACTAGTAAACGCTTTTTTAAACTTAAAACTCTTCAAGACCGCGTAGAAATAGTAATTAAAGTAAGATATACGTTAGCATATCGCATTAAAGTTGGGGGGAAAATATTACTTGACAATCTTGAGGAAAGTAGAGTTGAACTTCACAACTGCAAAACTGATTTCGCCTCCAAATAAAGCCAAACAATTCGTTCAAAAAATATTTTGAAAAGACATTTCGTATGGAATAAGAATAAATCCAGTGTAAACCAAACGAATGTACATATACTTGACAACAATTGACCGCATTGTCAACCTTTTATAGATTTATTTACTCAAGACATATTTTTATTATGTGTTTTTTGGAGAGCAAAGCAGGCTCAAATTAAGAAGGGTCAAGGTACTGGGTGTCAAGCTAGCGTGATTCCCTTCCACTGGTGCTAAAAATAATATAATGAGACCAATTGTACTGACAATACGATGATAGATTGTTAGACCAATTATTTTCTAGATCATACTAGCCAAATGAATGATAAAACAATTATCGTTGTAATAATAATCATTATAAGATTTAATAAGATATTTTTGACATCAGCTATAATAGAAAAATTGGCCCTAAAAACTGAGCTGTCAATCTATTAGGTTGCCATGGCAGTGACCAATAAAAAAAAAGAAAAGCCAGTTCACCGTCGACCACGTTTGTTCCGTCTTCTTGATGAAAATTTCACTTGAAATATTTGAAAAACTTCTATTGATTTTCAATCAAAATCCCTTTTAAAATACTTTAACTGATCTTTGCTGTCAAAAAAATGGCAAATTTAAAGATGGAAGGTGAAGATGGATTGCAATGTAGTCGGCAAAAGAGAGAAAAATACTACCCTTTAAGCTTATATTCAAAGAGAAAAGGCTTGACGAGGATCCAGGAAAAAGGTGTAAACTTATCTAGATTATAAAATGGCAGGAAAACAACCGAACTTACAAGGTATTTTTTCAGTATGACTGTAGAATAGAGCTTGGCAAAGATGTGAAGAATTTAACTTAAGTTACACGTAAGCTTAGAAGTGTAAGATAGCAGTTCTGTCCAACTCATAGGAATTCATGTTTAGAATTCTCCAAATAACTGAGCAACAACTATAATATTTTTAAAATTCTTGTTCCCCTTTACTCACCTTACGAGTCAATCTTTTATTTTCCACGATTTAGTTGTTTCTTATTACTGGTTTTTCTGTAATAAGGATCAGGATCCATCGGGCAAAGCCATCTTTTTTCAAAAGAAAAACTGGTCTCATTGATCATGTATGACGTCATGTATCCGGGATATTGAGCTTGCCTTTGTCTAACGTTTTGAATTTTGAGCAAGCAATCTTGCATGAGAATCTTTATCTCTTTACAATCATTTCTCCCAGTTTTTGTTTTACTATTTATTTGTAATAATCTCAGAGATTCATGCCTGGAGCCATATTTCCTTTTTTACCCGCCATGTTGGTCGACTTCGTTTCTTTTGTTATGTCAACCAACATGGAGCCGGCCATGCCTTTTATTTCAATATTTTCAAGGGGAATCTCAAACTGGGAAGACCCCAAAATATAATAATAAGTATCCCTATTAATTTTTTTTGTATTTTCTGTAGCTGCCTGGATCTACGATCTACTAGTTGGTCAAAATGCAAGGAGGGCCAAGTAACCCGGCTATCCGTCTCAGTCGTCGTGGTGGTAGCCCTTTCTTCAATGAATCTTCCAGTACCTCTACTATCAATACTATAAACAGTACGTTGAGTGCATCGACAGAGCAGATTCATAATCACAGCCGTGCACATGGACCACCCCTGTCCCCACCCCCACAGTCAAGGCATGAGAGAGAACGTAAGTAACATGAAATACAGCAGATTTCTAATGAGTGGGAAAAGATGCAGAAAACTCGGTGGCCGCGTACTGTATCTTACCGTACCGTAGATGTAAGGCAGTGGAAGCCATTTCATTGTTACGGCATTTTATACCATGTAAATGCTGTAAATCAGTAACCACTCGTATGATAACCATTCTCATTGGAAGCCGTTGCAATGTTACGGCATGTCGTACCGTGTACACGCTGTAAGTCAGTATAGTATGTTTCCCACTCATCGGAAAACCACTCTATTGAACTAAAATGTTTGCGCATGGTTTTAGAGTTGCTGGAAACACCTTATTTACGCGTTGCATCTTTAAGAGTAGATTTTGTATGACGAGCTGCACAGCGCATGGCACCTTCACACTCAGGGAATTGACAACATCTTTTGAACCAATAACAGCATATGAGCATATATCACTGCTTAACCAATGGAAATGCTCGAACACGGCGCCGTCACGGTCACGGCACGGTACGCCCATATTGTAGTTTACTTCATAAATTATCATGTTTTTACCACGAGGACAGTCTTCGCATTTGATCTCTGGTCGTAAATTTTAAGTAACGACATATTGTTCCCGTGCGCAATCCGTCACGATTTGTCCAGAATCGGGAACCTTCTTTTGTTAAAAAAAGAAAGAATGACAATCTCATGCAACATCTTTTGTCATAATTTCACATTATAAAATATTGTACCCGTGCGCAATCCTGATGGACATTCTGTCTGTTCTAATCATGGGTTATTTTTATCAAAGCACGAACTACAGTATCGAATAATCTACATGTTGTACGCGCAACTTTGATGGACATTCTGTCTGTTCTAATCAAGGGTTCTTTTCCTTACAGCACGAACTACAGTCTCGAATAATCAACATCAGCTGTATACGCAATCCTGACGGACTTTCTGTCTGTTTTAACCATTTATTATTTCCTTACAGGACGAACTACAGCGCTCAACATGGAGTGGCTCAAGAGCTCCGTCAAGCTTCTAGAAAGCGCTTTGCGTGAACGAAACAAGCAGATGGATATCCAGAGAAAAGAAATCGAGTTTCTCAGAAAGGAACTGAGAAAAAAAGATGACGTCATTCGAGAGTACGAGAACATTATCAAAGAACGAGAAGATATGGAAAAGAAAGAGCTTGAGATACTTCACAAGGAGATAAGGACCTTGAGAATGGATGTTATGTCCAAGGTAAGTTTGCATCATTTTAGTGCCCTCCCGAAGGATAATGGCAGGTTAAATTTTATTTATAGCAGGACATAAAACTATTAATTTTAACACGGTAGAAATTGAGTCTCGATCAGGGTTCGCACGACCCGCGCAACGCGATAATCAATTTCATATACTTAAAAAAGAACAGTTACAAATGTTTTCACATGAATTCCAGAATCGTATCTTTCCAGTTTTGGGCGTATTCCTCCCTTGCTTCACTGGTCAAGCTCAATGCATTCAGTAGAGGCTGCAAGGTCCAAATTTGAATGATCCAATGAAACTACCTTGGATTTGAATGATTTCTATGTGCATAATGAGCCCATGTCTGGAAATTGGAAATTCGTTGATCACTACTGATCAGTTTTAGTAGCAGAGATAGTCAGATTATATTCTTAGACAGGGGCGGATCCAGGATTTTTTCAAAGGGGGGGTTATAGCATTGATTGAGGTGGTGGAGGGGGAGAGATATAGCATACCAAAATGTTAGGGAGACGATTATTGCTGCAGGCGAGCATGGTTGTTTCWGGTCCCACACACGGCGTATAGAAAAAAAAGCGAGCGAAATGTGTTCGGCACCCCGTGTTTTAATAAAACTTGCGATGCTGTTGGTGTTGTCATGTAAAAAAAATGATAATAAAAAATCACGATGGCTCTCATAGGGGGGGTTGCAACCCCCAAATCCCAACCCTAGATCCGCCACTGTTAGATCAGAGTAGGAAATGGGAAAATAACACTCAAAGAAAAACAGGGTATCCAATCAATTTATCCTGACAATCACGCACCATACCCATAGTGAGATATATTCATGTTTTAAATTTTCATTTTTTAAAGGCAATGACGATACGGGAACAGGATAATACCATCGTTGAGTTAGAAAACAAGACAGAAAAATTGATGTCAGTCATGCCCCTACCCTCCTACCCACGGGCACGTGCACAAGGCGTTTCGGCTGAGCCGGCAAAACGAGTTCAGAATTCAACACCACAACCGGTTATAGTTGAAAAGGAAGAAAGGTAAGAGGATTTTGAATTCCGGCATTCTGGATATTCAAGTTCTCGTACCCAGACTCTACTGGCTAATGAGTAGGACCTGGGTACGAGAATGGAATACCCTCTGAAAGAAACGAGTAGGGCATTGGGCACTTATATGTTCTGGGAAACACCCATTCTCGTACCCAGACCCTTCTCAACAAGAATCGAACCAGAAACAGATGATTATGCAAAAAATTTAAACCAATCAAATCAACGGTCGATTTGTGTGTTATCAGAGCCTTTGATTTTTCGTTAGAAAGCTGAGAAGGCTTTGGGTACGAGAATGGGAAACACCTGTTTGGGTAGGCATCCATTTGGGTAGACAACCGTTTGGGTAGACACCCGTTTGGGTAAACACCCGTTTGGGGGTAGACATCCATTTGGTTAGACAACCGTTTGGATAGACACCCGTTTGGGTAGACACCCGTTTGGGTAGACATCCGTTTGGGTAGACACCCGCTTGGGTAGACACCCGTTTGGGTAGACAGTAGTCGCAAAATCCTGTAAACAGAAATTTTGGCAATATAGAGAAAATACTGAGAAACCAAGTGGAGTAAAAGCGGCTTGTCAGTATACTTTTCCCAGGCAGCATTTCAAACCAGGAAAGCGCAGCTCGATTTTTCTGATCGAGATGTTGAAATATAATGTCGTTAATTCTGCTGAATGCAAGCAAAAATAAATGACTACGTCATGAGTGACGTAGAAAATGGAATACCTAGTGTCAATCGCCATACGCTTTGGAACTTTAATTGGAAGAACAGTAATGTTGCAATGCTTGGTATGAGTTTGGCTGACAGGGGTATACGAGTATTAAACATGAGGAGCTTTGTTAGAGCTTTGAAAGAAATATATCGCCATGTTGCACATTTGATTTAACAGCCATGCGGTAGCAAACTTGTGATTCTCATTTTATGACCGGGTCGGAATTTAGAAGTTTAATTTTTGCGAAGGAACGAAAAACCGGAAAAAAATCCTACGAAGCACAGCCTGAACAACAAGTGGAGAAAAAAACTGGAGAAAAATCCTACAAGGCACAGAATGGCGGGAACGATAAGTGGAGGAAAAACTGAAAAAAACAAACAAACTACAAGGCACAGAATAGGACCAAAAAACAGCTCTGCCGATACACGATACGTGACGGGAAGTCCACGGAAGCCTCGTTCCCAATACAAGAGCGGAATTAAGGACAAAATGGGATATGAGCCGTGAACGCCAGAGGATGTGCCCGACGAGGAATCATTATGCTTACTACAAGTACCAATCGGAAATGCGTATTGAATTCATCATTTCACAAGCCTTTCTAGTGTTTTTTCGAGAACTACTACATAGCTCTGACGTTCAAACGCCTGCCATAAATAAAAGCCCCTATTATCACGACCATTCTAAAATGCTACTCAAAAGATACCGTCATTTTTTGTAAAAATAGCTATTCAGTTATTGACTGAAGAACCGAAAAAAAAAAAAAAGATAAATACGTAGATAACTTCCATAACTAGGCAAGTTTTTTTGTTTGTTACTGCTTCAGTTCTGGGAAAACGATAAGAAAAATCGAATGGAATATTCCATATTGGTTCTTTTGACGTTGTCCGGACGTACATCACAGCGTGGTCTTCCTTCATTCAGTTTAATATTTTCTTAAGACTTTTTTGTTTTCAGTTTGAGATAAGACCGATAGCAGAAAGAATATAAAGTGCTCTTAGCTTTTTATTTCTTTTGAATCCCTTAAAATCAATACTCGAGCTATAACAAATAGGTCAAATTTGTTCAGTGATGCAACCATTTTATCGAATTTGATTCAAAGGTCAGCCATGAAGAGCCATAATATGTCGGATTATTTTGATTATGACTATTTGAGTGGGATTTCAAATCGTTTGTTTGTGTTTATCGAGGCATGTAACTCACTTTTATTATCATATAAAATTTTTTTTTTTAAGTTGGCGAATTAATTTGAGGTTGGCTTGTTTTTCTGCATGCTCGTCGCTCCTCTTAGGAACTGTTTTCCTTCTCGCTTAGCACTCCACTTACAGTCTTAAAATCCTGTCATTCGTATTATTGATTGAGAGCCATTTTAGGGTCAAGAACAACGCCATGATGTCTGATGTCTGATGAACCAAATCGTCAAACGTAGTTGGTCGACTTTTTATGATACTGGTCTGTGCTGGAAACCTAAGTGAAAAAGGCCCATCTACCACACATCGTTCATTATAAAATACGACTCTAAAACGCGGAACGCACTTGGAGGTACATATAAGGACCAATTACTCATCGCCTGGGTTTGCAAGCGTCGAGAAAATCTGGAAAATTTCAATGGACAAAACTGGTGAATCGTTTAAAAAAAAAAGCATTTTTGATTGGACTGCAAATCCGCCAGCTCATCTCCGGCTGCCATATTTAGTACAGCCAAAGCATTTCAATTATACAATAAGAAAAGCAAATTCAAATGCCAATGTCTAATGTAAAGGAGCCTTTATTTGTAAAGCGATTGTGGTAGGATTGCACTCATCATCTAACCATTTTGTCGAACATTTGAAGAGTTTTAAAATCAGGTAATGACGGTTAATGTAAGCAAGTCGTAGAGCACATCTTTGGCTAGAACTCAGTGGTTTTGACCGCATCTTGGCGAGTAAAGACAAATTTAAAGTGCTAAGCCAATCAAAGTCCAAGGGATTAACTATAACACAAAAAAGAGCTCACCGAAATGCCTTTGTACTCAGGACGCTAAACACTACACGATAATATAAAGCATTTGTGGCCCCGCCAGGTGAATATAAACACAGCAATACTATTGAGGATGTTATTCATTCAACAGGACTTTGCTTGTAGCCGGTCTGCTGTTGTCACTGCAGCTAATTATTCATCCGTTCTCTCAAGAAAGCTTATTGGATACAAGATCGCCAGCTCCCCATCACAATAAGTGGGCTGTTGATTCACTAATTCTCGCGCACTGCGCACTAAACGGACTAAGCTAGGCGCGGAATCTCTTTCGACCATATCGATTACCGCCGACGTCTCAAATCCACCATTCGTTCCTCACTATACCAAGATTCGGCCCAACTAAGCCTGTTAATATTACCCAGGGTACAGTTCGGGTGTAGTTGCTGTGGTGACTGCAGTAGTAATGCTTTGCGGTGGGTCAGGTGAAGCCTCCATACACACTCCGAGGCGGCGAACATCATCCACCTTTAGTTGTTTGTGTTTTCAACGAAACTCCGGGAATAAAATGGGCAGCTTGCGTGAACTACAGCACGCGCTGCAAGAAAAGAACAGTGAACTGAAGATGAAGGATTCCAGGATTATGGCTCTGGAACAAGAACTGCGGCGAAAGGACGAACTAGTACGGAGATTAGAGAGTGAGTTGGATAAATACCGATCAGTATTGCAACCGAATGTACCGACCGCCGTAGGAAGAACCAGAAACCAACGACAAGGCATTTCCGCAGAGCCACAGAATGCCAAAGCTGTGGCTGACAACTCGAAGCCTCTGCAACGACATACGAAGACTACCAGGCAAGCTTCTAAACTAAGTCTAATTCCTTTAATCATTTTTCGCATTCTCAAATCTAGCCTCTGCGTGTGTGTTAGTAATACTAGTTATAGTAAAATTGCGATTATAATCTTTTTCGTTTGATATTTTGCTTTCCTCATGCCGAAAGACAGTCTCAAAATACTCTGTAGAGACGATCATGTCGATTAGGGCAGTAACTTTAGTCTAAATTTGACTTAGTAATAATACCTTTCGACTTGTGATGCTTTCTTCATCATAATCTAAACATTCTTTTACATTGTATTTTCTTTGATTGTTATTAATAACACCAAGGCGTCGTTAGATTGCAGTATGTATCAAAGGCAAGGTCAGTTGCAAACGCCGTCCTTTCGTCTTTACGAGAGCGGTACTAGCCACCAACACTGCTTATTAATTTAACGCTGTTAGTTGACTTGGCCGCCACTATTCTAGCTTACCCGCTGATTGCCCATATTACCAACGTGTTTTGGTCGCTAGTATTTTTATTAACACGACTAACTCGTTCTCTAAATACTCTTCCGATTTCCTTTATTTCTGGAACAACTGAACAATTCGAGATCGGATTTCACGCTTCGGATTTTAGGCTCCGTTCTTGTCAAAGCTCTTCTGTTTTACCTCTCTATTATCTTCTCGTGTTAAATACAATGTGTATTTTTTATTACTGTAGTACAAATTTCATTGCGTTTAAAGGTGCAGTACGTGGATTTAAGTTTTCGTTAACACAGTCCCTACAAAGGGGGATTTTTGGTAGCTTTGTGAAGTGTTTCTGTCTTGTTATTTTACATAAAGGGCTCTTCTTCTCGCAGAAATCTGAAGAAGAATCTCAGCCTTTCTAATTTATTCCTTATTGCTGTTAAAACCACGTAGGATTAACATGCAAACCTCGGAATACAAGAGCAACTTGTGAAGCTCTCGACAGATAAAATTCTTTCCTAACATGCATGGAAAAAAGCTAAAATCAACAACAACTAGTGCATTGTTGAAGTTACTACCTTAGCGACTTGAATAAATTACTACTCTGGCGTTTTTTACTCGATATTTATGTTGTTTTTCCAAGAGTAAACAATCGAACCTGTAGCTGTCGAGAAAGAAACTATCATTCTTCTAACGCCTATAGTCTCAGCATCAAATTTCAGCAATAGCAGTCTGTTGGTTTTACTCATAGTTACTGTAATTTGGTTTTCTCGAGGAATAAACGACTAAATGGCTTCTTTGCCGGGGCATTTGTGCGGGCGATTGAGTTCTCTTGTTATGTATTGTTTTGTAGAAAAGAGTTTGTGTATTGTTTTTGGGAAATATTTACGCTGCCTATTGAAAAACTCAACATGAAAAAGGCTCACTCTTATGAAGGTTGAACAACAAAACAACTTTATTAACTCCTCGTGTTTTCTAGACTTCAACAAGCCAGGCATCAACAACTCATGTTTTTATCAACAACACATAAAAACATGGATTTTTT